GTTGGCCCCAAGGATGTTAAACCCAAGCGCCTGCACCCGGCCAGCGGTGCAATCAACTGCTGTGTTCGCAGTTGTCAGGGTTGGCGCCATCGTACACTCCACAATGAATGACCCATGATGATGTTCACTCGAGCGGCGTTGCCTAAAGGCAACCTGAAGAGTGAACAAGTTGCTGCTGTTCCAATAGAAAATGCTACTTTGCATCAGAAGTTTGCAGTGCAGAGTTGGATCGGTCGCTGCATCTTCAGTCTTTCCTTTTGTCCATTTCATTCCGCGGCATGGAATGCACACGCCACAGCCTTTGCTAGGATTCATCTCCAGATTTGAACCTGTCTGTCAGTACTGAGGCCATGTGGAATGATACGACATCTTTGACACTGTTCTCCAACCAATCTGTGGAACTTTTAGTTGCTTTAGGACTGTAGGGTAAAGTCACCACATCTCTCTTGGTGCCCATCTATTCAAACCTCGATATATTGATCAGGGCTTTTGGACCCCAAACTGGTGGCTAGGCTGATGGCCAACCGGTTTTTGTTGGGACACCGTCGCAATGCATGCGAGCGGAGGCCATTGCAAGCTGGGGCCACGATCCGTACGCCTGTTCTTTGGGTTTTCGTTTTTTGGGTGGCATGGTCTGCAAACTGGTCAATGTGTGTGGAACCCACGACGCCTTTCGCTACGATGTCTTGCCATTCTTTCCCCCTGAGAGCCTGGAAGTTGAAACAGCAACTTGCAATGAGGTCTGAGTGGTTCAAGCCTACAGGGCGCTACTAGGTGGAGGCCATCTCTTCTAGTAACAAGAAGCTACTAGTAGCAAGGACATTAGGTGGAGGCCATCGCAAGTAGGTTGGAGGCCATTACTGTTAGCAACAAGAAGGCCTTCTATTCAAAAAAATCACCCCTTTTCCGGAACAGACCCGGAAAGCTGCTTCCTCGTCTTCCTCAAGCCGGTCAGACCGGCTCCAGAGTGTGCCGACACTGTGGAGCTACATGGTCACCAAGGGGCGTTCTCCACATCCGGTGCTCGGCATGCAGCTGCCTGCAGTTGGAGGCTTGAAATGCTTGGGCAGCTGTCGATGACTCGAGTACTTCACAAACTAGCTGTAAGGATCTTCCGACATGTCTTTGAAGCCTCGAAACATACAACTTTGGAACAGCTCGAAAATTGCATTCCCTATGTCCAGATGCTGCAATTCTCAGGAATTCTCAGCCTTACCCTTCAAAAGGCATGGATCGCATGCTCATTCATCCCCCTCTAAAATGCTCCGAAAAGCGTCAACGCTGTGACTGACTCAGCGCCTGCGTCATTTGTTTGATCGTCTGCCGACGGCCCAGCTGATACATGAAGGCACTTAGGGAGACGGTCAGGGCGAGCATGTAGATGCCTCGGCCGATCGGCAGCTGCCAAGGTAGGAGACCGGATGAGGGGGCAGTGGGTTGAGATGGAGATGGACACAACGTGAAACAACATGCGCAGTTGTGCGGTTCCCCTAGCCGGATAGGAGTCTTTAAAGTCAGCAAGACAGGTATATGAAGGCGTGTCCTACCAACAGCATTGAGGTGGAGGGATGTTCCAACAAAACTACCTGGGCACAGGACAAGTACACTGTGCATAGAGCATCACCAACCAGCTGCCCAGCAGGAAATCGCTCACCCTTCCCTCGTTCCCTTCTCCAGACATGGTGCAAACATTCCCTTGGCTACGGCCCAAGATGATGACATCGCCAAGGAAGAAAATGATGATCATGGATAAACACTGTGTGACCTCACAGTCGAGCCGGCTGATTTGCTGAAAAAGCTGGATCTAGAGTTGAAGAATGCACATGGGCAGTGGGCCCAATCTCAGTGGCCTCAAATGGGCCATAAAAGGGAACATGTCCTTTTGAAACATCTTCAGTTGTATATTCACATCAGTGTGACAATGTGACTACCCGTCCCTAAGTCATTTGCCCTTGGGCTATCTTGGCACCAAGCAAATTCGGATTCCACCATGGAGACGTGATTCTCAACTCTGAAAGATGTCAGCAATGTTGGGTCGATCCCGACAGGAGTCCAGGTAGTTGTGATCGACCCAGCACGAAGTCCAACCCACGAAGTCGCTCCAAACAACTCGCACAATCCATCAACAGCGAAAGGAATAAGACCTCCAAAGAAGACCTAAGAGATGGAAGCTACTAGCGATGGCCTCCAACCTAATAGCGATGGCCTCCACCCTACTAGCGATGGCCCCCCTTTTTTGAGGGGGACTTCCCAGCATCCCCCAAAAAAGTGAAGAAGCAGCCACTGATGGCAATAACTTTTTCAGCTGGTGCTTGCGAGGAACTGCCTTGGCCACTGTGGACCAGTGCTTTACAATGACACCGGCCATCCAGGCTTGCAGCACTCGGATAAGCACGCAGATCACCTGCAGCACCGATGACACGGCCGAGTAAAACGGATCTCTCTGTGCTGAAACCGAGACCAAAGAATGGGATAAATGAGCTGAAAGCCCGTGGCAAGTATGGAACGCTCACTGACGATGTTCGGAGAAAAACCCCAGTGGTTTGAGGATCCACTCAACAACAAACGATCCACTCAACAGTCAACTCTCACTCCTTCCCCCCTTAGCAAATCAACGCTTGATTGTTTTGGATTCGACTGATCCCAGGATTGCTGATCGCCGATCGCCTGCAAGTATCTCCAGTCTTGAAACGCACTCGGCGATGGTGACCTGGCCCCCAGTTTGATGGAGATGGAGAAATGATGTGAACATATGCAGCATATGTGAGCAATGTGTGTATACATGCATAATTATATGTATGGAGATCATATATGTATTACGTGAGCATCACATTCATGGAGCTGGATATGTTGTAACTATTATACATGACCCTCTGAATTGGACACCACATGATCAAAGCACAGTTGAACTCTTTTTTGCTCTGGTCACCGGGATAAGTCGAACACGACTGCGGCCGGAGCACGCTCCCAAGTAGAGCAAGATCACCGCCGAGGTGAGCAAACTCCAAAAGTCGAAGCGAGCTTTCTGAACCTAGGCTGAGTTGGGCGGAAGTGGAGAAAGGAAAGGACATGGTCTGAACCTCGTGGCTATTCTTTTGGGGGTGCTAGTAACAAGAAGCTACTAGTAACACGTGCATCGCTACTAGGAGCAATGACGCTACTAGGGGCTCCTGGCCTTACTATTAGTAACAAGAAGCTACTAGTAACAAGTGCATCTACTAGTAGCGATGCACTTGTTGCTAGCTTTTGGGAAGGGATGGCCGGTTGAGCTTGTCACATCTTGTCACCATGGCAGACATGTTCGTATTTCATGCCACAAGTGATCCAGCTCTTTGCTGGAGGTGGACCTGATCCACCTCTACCTCTACCGTTGGGCCGACCTGGAAACAAAGAGCAAGCGGGGAGGTTAGGAAAATGTCCACGGTCCATGTTCGAGGGAGAACAAATCTACAACATTGAATACACTTAGATTCATGCTATATCCATGCTATAACTTGTAAACAAGGCAGTCTTTCAAGAAAACTCGCGATTGATTGGTTTGATTGGTCAACCTACCCCTCACCAAACCACAAACGATGGAGGATGGAGGCAAGAATTTACCCGACAAAGTCGGGTCCAACCGTCCAACGAAGGATCCTCTTAATTGGGAGACAAGGAGAGACAACGCAAAAGGCACTCTCAATCCCTCTCAACACTGGCAGGCCAGAAAAGCACTCGGTTCCATAATATATTGCCATTCTGGTGCTGTATGTGGGCTTTGCCCGCTAGCTACAGAACACTCAATGACAGTAGGTTGGAGGCCATCGCTAGTAGGTTGGAGTCCTTTTAGGAGGAATAAAGCCCGACTCAAACAAGGATAAGCAAGGACGCTACTAGGGGCTCCTGGCCTTACTCCTAGGAGCAAGAAGCTACTAGTAACAAAAGGCATCGCCTTCTATTTTATCTTCCCACCTCTTGCCCACTCGTCACCCCCGGCGATTCATTGCTCCCAGCGGCACAATAGAGCTCCTGGCCGTCGCTGGAGGTGTGTCGCTGTTTGAAGATGTGTTCCTCAGCTTCTTCTTCTCATCAGGGGCGAAATGCTTTTGATTGAAACCACTATAGAGATTGCGCAATGAGATTACGTCACGTTAGAACGTCAGAAACACACATGATCTAGATTTGAAGAACAACCACTTCACTGTGATTCCTTTGGGATGAAGTGCGAAATCCTTGGCCAGATCTCGAACAAACATCTGGCCTCACCGATGGATGAATCGCTCCATTTACTGGGAGCTGAGTTTTCAAGCACGAAGCATACTATGCCACACACACAATCGGAGCAATAAGAACGCAAGTAGAACCGCTAAAGCCTCTGAGGGGAGCCCCATCCCCTCTTCCAGAAGTTCACTCCCCAAGTGGCTGCTAACACACAGGCAGCGCAGGCTAAGGCCGCATAGAGCACCACGAAGCTGGCACCCTGAATCCCATCGGACCTGGTGAAGCGGTCGCGCCGTCGCAAGCGACCGATCGAACCTTCCGCATCAGAAGCGGGAAGACATGTGTGAGGAAATCCACTAGATATAAAAGTCAATGGAGACAAACATGTGAGGATAAATAACATAAATAACCTATAAACAATTCCGTTGAATGGCCGGGGGCCCACTTGTTTCTGATTTCATTCGGATTTCATGCTATCTGATGGAAACCCGTTGCGATTCCGGATTCATCTTCTGGATCCAAGGTACGGTAACTCAGAACAAGAAGCTACTGAGAACAAGTGCATCGCTTCTAGTAACAAGTGCCTTACTAGTAGTAACAAGAAGCTATTAATTTAAATTTACTAATAAGCTTCTTGTTACTACTAGTAAGGCACTTGTTACTAGAAGCGATGCACTTGTTACTAATAAGCTTCTTGTTACTACTTCTTTCTCCTATGTCCCAGCCCGTGTCTGGGCCGTGTCCACGTGCCGAGGAGCAGATCGATCGCCCGGCTGCGGAGCTCGCAGAAGGTCAAGGAACTAAAGGTCAAGAGTGCCTTGGAGGTTGTTCTTTCTCGGAAAAAAGACAAAACATGATGCTAAAGGATGCGCAATGGAGTTTTTCTCAGTTTGTTTGTTTCGCTGCTCTAAGAGCTCCAAGATCACCAAGGCCTGTGATTCAGGCTGCAAACAAAATACGGGTGAAACTCTCTCTCTCTCTCTCTGTCTGAAGCCAAGAAGGGTGACAGTTGTGACCCAGTATTCTGCAGTAGCACCATGATTCACTGATTGAATGGCGACCTTTCTGAGAAAGTATGGGTGTAGTTCTTAGATTCAGCAACTCCCGAAGCTGCTTGGGTTGGTGGCCACGAGAACTATTTCATGCCTCTTTGGTCATTGTTTTTTAAACTTTTTTGGTTTGGGCATGTTTGGACCAATATTTGAGGACCTCGTGAACCAACATGATTTTCTTATATCCCCATGTGTATCTGCAGGAACTTGTCAACATACTGAACATCTCCATATTCAGCCTCCCCTCTCCAAGCAGATCCACAGCACCCCAGAACCAAACCGACGACGCGCGACGCGCGACCCACTTGCGCCGGGGATCTAGTGCGTGTAGTTCGAGCCAGCCGTAGGCGCCTGAGAAACATCTTCACTTTGGCAAGACCGAAATCTTCAGTCTGCAAAGTCCCACTTGTGCTGAGTGTGACTTGGAAGCAGTTGCCGTGAGTATCTACATCAATGCTAAAAGTGATACATTGAATGAACACAAACTCATGATCTCATCCGTGTTATGAGTACTTCGTTACAACGTGGCCACTCAGCTCAAGGTTGGAGCTCTTCTGCCAAGTATGTCTTAGAAATGAAGCATTTTCAGGACCACAGGGGGCCAGAGGTTCATCAAAGGTTTGCTGAGATATCCAACTTAGTTCCTGCAGTTGTCCGAGTATTGACCAAGTGAGTGGCCACAGGCCAACCAAACAAAAGAAAACTGTCTGCCAAGGCAAGGGTGGAATATTGCACAGGAAGCTTTGTGTTTCATCGACCCCAACGCAGAAAAGGACACGGCTTCGCTAACGAACTGTTGATATGTTAATTCACCATGAACAAGTGCAAATTATCATCAAGCGCGAGCTGGTAGGTCCAAACCCGCATGTGCATCCACAGGCACGTCTGAAGATGAAGCGACTCACCTCGACAACATCGTCTGAAGGTGACCGAGGATGAGAATTCCACCGGGTGTCTTTGATTTGAAGAGCAGAAACACCATTTGTATGGCGTGACAACTTTAACCAAGGGCCGTGTGTAGTCAGAGTTATGGCTAAGACACAACTACTGTAATTACATGCAATCACACCTAAGAAACTATGGTTGGACTTTCTAATACGGAAAAAGATGCAGTGCCATTCAGTGACATTGAACAGTTGATCAATGATCAATGCAACTATGCAAGAATATCAACATCTGGACTGTCCAACTGTTCGTTTATCAACCAACTGTCCCTCAATTGAACATCTGGCGACTGTGATAGTGGCTTTCTGGCTTACATGTGCAGGCAAGATACGAGGGCGCTCATCGGCATGTATAAACTTCCCCTGAGAGCAGCAACCATGCAAGTAAGAAGGTTGAAGGAGTGGAACAGTGGACTATATTGTTTGTGACCCATCAAACAGCGGAGGAGGAGGTTTAAAATGACATGTCAGTAAATATCATCAACCATGAGGCAGTAAAACTGCAGGATCAGCAGGGCATCAGAACTTCTTGCAATCGCTTCTAGGTTGCAGGCCATTGCTAGTAGAAGCAAAAAAGAAAAGGAATACAGATCCAATATAGTTTGCTATTAGGGTGGAGGCCATCGCTTCTAGGTTGGAGGCCATTGCTAGTAGAAACAAAGAAAAAAGACAAGGACAACATATGGAAGACACGTGTAATATAGTTTGCCTAGGAGCAAGGATGCTACTAGGGGCTCCTGGCCATACTACCAGGAGCAAGAAGCTACTAGGGGCTCCTGGCATCGCTACTAGGAGCAAGGACGCTAAGAAAAGGAATACATATCTTTCAATATAGTTCTTGCAAAAGCTGTCGACTCAACGCCTCACCCCGTTCCACCACACTTTTGAGACCTTTTGACACGGTCAACTGCTCCTTGCAAAACAAAGCACTAAGTCAATCCAGCAACACTGAATGTCATCCAAAAAGCACCCATGTCATCCATTTTCTACCGCTTTAAACCTTCTAGAGCTTCTTCTCAACACACCCTCATCCACCGCACCATGTACTTTCGCCGTTTTTTCGGAGGCACAGCGCCACGGCGGTGGCGGCGCCGATGCCCAGGCCGATGGCGTGGGCCAGGGCCGCGTTGCTCAGCGAGAAGAGCACCGCCGTGGGCAAACACCGGAAGAGCCTCCGTCGTCGGGTGCTGGAGATGGATTTTTGGGGCGCATATGGCGCTCCATGGCGCAAACGATACACTATACGGGCTATATAGGAGTTGATGTGCTGTTGTGTTTTTGTTGTGGTTCATTGATTTTCCACTCAGGTTTCTTCGTGTGGCTTTCTTGCAAATGTGGCCGCTGGCCTCATGGGTGTCCGATTCTCTCCAGTCTCGAGTGTTACGCATCCCGTAAACACGAACCATTCAATGCGATCGTGTACAGAGGAAGCTCTTCCTCCACCCCTGCATCCGAGAAACTGAAGGGATCCTACTTGCTCACCAAGGAATATATGTCACATCCCCAATGCACCCAAAATCAAAGTAGGGCGGCCAACTTGACATCCAGCCAAGTAGCAACGAAGTAGCTACGATCTGAACACCCGGCATCATTGAGCACCGAAGACACTGGGGGATGGGTCAACCCTGGCACTTCTGAAGTGTAAGCAAAGCCATGAACGGTGTTTGGGTGTCTAATGGTGCCTATAGTTTTAAGATGCACAGGCATAGACTGAAAGGGTGCCCAAGACTTTGATTCCAGGCACTTCTTAGCCAATCTATCCTTGGGACCACCGGTTCAGAGCTATATCCCCTGACTTCACGGCCCACCGCCACATTGGGTAATTACCCCAAAACCCTGGTGATTCTCTTCACGCCCATTTCGTCAAGCAGCTCCGCCGAGCAGAAGGTGTCGACGACCCCGCGGGGACCAATGTACCTGGACCCATCCAAGACTGAGATCCTTGTTGCACCGGAAGCGTCAAGCAAATTCCAAGGGTTGCCAACAAATGTTGGACCGCCAGAGGTAAATGCTCCCTTTCCCTTCCGTGCTTCTCTCTTTCTTGACGTGATTGCTGCGACCACTTCTGCATTAATCCTTCCAAAGCTAATAGAGATCATCACACAAATACTGCTTTTCCTAAGTTCAATTCGCTGCTTTCCCCACACTTAAGGATCATCCAGCAACGACTTCCAAGCATTGACACAGCGATTGTGGGTGCAAAAGGCATCCGGCATCTATATTCATTGCGGAAGTACTTAAGATTCACGGCATGTAGCATAAAACTGCCACCTTAAAACGATCTGCTCAGACCAGTTCGGGGACCTTGGGATGCATTCCACACCATTCGATTGACATGGCCGTTTTTTCACCTCTGGGAGTTGGATGGTTCAACAGACTTCATCTTATCTTACAGTATCTATACCATTCTTGTCCTGCCATGTTCCCATGTTCCATGCATAGGATATACTATCATATACATAAACATATGCACATAAATCAATGTAAATCTATGATGAAGTCTGGAAGTCTGGGCATCTCGTTTCACCGAAAACAAAGAGGCCGCCACCGGCTCATCAGGCCTCAGTATCGCCACCACACAGATCAGCACTGAGATGAGGTCCTCGGAGTTCAAAGCGGAACTCTACACTCTGAAGCCCTCGACTCGAAGGAAGTTCTTTGCACCATCAGATCAACTCACTTCAAAGTCTTTCCCACTCAACTTCCTGACCTCCACCGCCGGGTGGACACACATCAGCACCCCCTAAAACGACCCACCGTCGGCGACCGTCTCCTGCAGGAAGACCAGCGCCTGCGCCGTCACCGGGTTGTGGCTGATGGCCCGGACCTCACCGTCCACGGCACGCCGAAAAACGTCGAACCTCCCGTCGCGGCCGTGTTTGGGCTTCGCTCAACCACAGCAGCGAGACCCATCGGCTCGCAACTGCAACGCTCCCAAACTGCGCTGGGCTGGACCCACGTCCACCATGTACTTGGAGGAGTCCACGATCAAGAAGAGGCCGAAGATCGCCCTTGGCTCTTCGAACATGCGCACGCGCACGCGCGGAGGACTCCACAGGAAACCCGGGGAGGGTTTGAAAGGCTATGATCTTTCCCGCTAGGGGCTGGTACTTGCCACAACCACTCAAGCAAATGAGAACACACTGCCACCTTCCTACCATCTATAGAACCCAAGACAGCTGATGCTTTTTCAGTTTCGAATGGACCGGCCTCTACCAGATCTTCACAGAATGACTCACTAATTCTCGAGGCGCTTCACCCAGTGGTCACTGAATCCCAACGCCAAGTCGACAGTTCGAGAACGATCACTTTACAGTCGAAAAAAAACACCATCAGACGGAATCAAAGCGTATTGCTGAAGATTAGGAGCAATGACAGATCCTTGCTAAGCACGGCGTTGAAGCTTGCAGGGTTGAGCTGTTAAGAAATTTCGACTCACCTTTCGGTGTTTTGATTGAAGTCCAAGAATCAAGTGCATCCAGTGTCCACAGTCGCAATACTGCGTGAGCTGGAACCTGAAAGTGGTTTCATTCGACGTCACGTGTGGCTCATTCTGAAAGATGTTTTTGAAGCAGTACCCCAAGTAGCACTAGAGTCGTGCAAGCACAACACCAAGGTGGAGAGAAATGTAAGCAGGTTCTAAGGGCTTGTAGCCCAACACCCTCACATTGAATTGTCCATGTATAGCCTGCTCAAAAAGCTTTCACTACCTTGACAAAAAGGAAATGAACGATCATGCTCGACGTGGGTGATTGACCTCTCCCTCAAGATCCCAGAAAGCTTCCATCAAACGTCCCTTCAGTCCCTTCTCACTTCAGAGTGTGATTGCCTGCCATGCAAATTGTTCAAGAAAAAAACACCAGATAAGCTACCACATATTCTAACAGAACAACCATGAACTCCTTGCTTCTCCTTCCTTCTTGCACCTTAGTAAAAACAACAAAACTATATATCCCTAATCATCCTAATACCGATGGCCTCCACCTGGTAGCTTCTTGTTACTAGTAGCGATGGCCACACCTCCCGCCGCTGCCACAGGTCGCCCGCCTCTCTGCCTCTTCGCTTCTCGTCTCGCTCGCGAAGTCCGCGGGCGGCCGCTCCTGGCGTGCTCGACCCGCGGCGAAACGGAAGAACGACCGGGAACTCGGTCATTTGGGTCTTTAGAGATCTGCGCCAGGGTCAGGGCATTTTGGAGGATGAACACAAAATTCTGACCTGCAAGTGTATGATGAGGTGGTATACCGTCAAGTGGTTGGTGGGTGAGCACTACGGTGCAAACTTGCCATTGACCACGGGCATCTCATCAGCATAAGACGTTCCGAGTTCTGACTGACATGAAGCCGCAAGCTTAAACCAGCCTGCAAGAACCTTGAAAGCAAAGCATCCTTACGAATTTCGCAATGTCAAGGATCATTGGGTGACATTCCTCGCCCAGCTGCGTTTCTTCTTCTTTGGTCATTCCTCGCCTTGTGCGTCTTGCTGTGCGCGGGCACAGTGACGGAGCGACCTGTGTGTGGTAGCCACGGTGATGGAGTCTGACCAGTTGTATTGTTCCGCACGCCGGCTATTACAATATACCTACACCTACAATTGTGATGCGCATTTCATGTTCTTTCATGTCTACATGATAGGTCTATATAAAGCCTAAAACCACTCTTGAAGATTGCCCTACTGAGCAAAATAGGCTGCTTGATTCTGCCGGACTCTTGCAACGTGCGCCTTGCCCCGAGAAGAGTGGCACTACTCGATCATCGGTGTCAGCGACCTGCCAAGACTGCGCCCTTCCGGCTTTGGGTACAACACATCCACCAAGGAGGTTATACCTGACATAACTTATTACGCGTTTTAAACGTGCGTTCTACTTATTGTATATAATATTTGTAACATGTTTCTCTTGCTCCCTGCCTTAAGTTTCTGGCCGGAGCCATATTAATCTGTACAAACGTTTTCAGGTTATGAGGTCTCTCGACTCATCTGAACTCCCAGCAGCAAACCTACAAAGCTGCCTTGTATTGCAGGAAAGCTTAAACCGCCAAAGCCACCATTTCTGACGTCACAAAGCACCAGCCAAGGCGCTAAAGGACTTGCAGCCGGCGACATGGCGACGGCCCAGGGCCCATGGGACGGCCGGGACGGCGAAAAGGTGGGTTCCGAGTTCTCGGCACCGCTTGAGGAATTGGGCCTCTCCAGTTGCTTGGTCTCATGCGGGATGTCTTTGGATTGTTTTTGCTGAACTGCAGCTCTTTGACGGCCGGATTCGCTTGGTCGCTTTTGTAGAGTTTCTTTCTGCGCCACGTGGATGATATTACATGGTCGGCTGCACCCGCATTCCGCCATTCAGTGTTTTCTTACGACAATCGTTTCATCCCAAATAAAGCACATCTTGCCTTGATATTCTGCATCTAGACCGTAAGCCATCTGAAGCTCAAAAAACGGCGCATGGGGTGAGGTCAACCTCGAAGGAACTGACATGGTCTTGGTATGTCTTCGTGGATATCTGCCTTCATGAAAACGTCTGAGGAGTTCCTCCGATCTTCCATGGCACCTCTCCATGCTTCCAGCTCCAAGAAACCATAGCAACGATCCATCTACTCTCATGATTTCCATGATTGCAGTTCTGTCTTTGGCTCTAAGAGCCTCCTATCCTTATGAACAAAGGCAAAAAAGTATGTATTGATATGTTTTGTGTGTTTGTATGGGGGAGAATCAAACATGGTAGTGATTTTGGAAGAACACATGATGGTTCCGGACATCATACATATACTCCCTTCACATCGAGGTGCATAATTGGATGATCTGCATCAAAATTGTGTGAACAATTGCCTGATCTGCATCCAAAGAAACAGCAACTATTCTCTTTGCCCAATACTGATCTCAATGTGTTTTTCTCCCCGTTGGTTTCCTCTATTTGCCAACCCATCCGCTTACTTCATAGTAACTAAAGAAGCCTCGCACGACCCATCCGCAGGATTTCTGAGATCTCCAAGCGGGTCGTAGATTTGCAGCTTCTTGGAGGCGATCCTGGATGTGCCCAAAAGCTTCGCAACGGCTGGCAGGTGCAAATTCTTTTCGAGGGAAGCGGTAACATGACATTATTTTGTATAAGTAACCACTTTGCAAATCATTTGGATGGGCTCATTGAAGGTCTTTTGGTGGATCAACATTGAACATGTCAGGAGCAGGATTGAACAACGAGTCTCTTCCACCAGGGGGCGTCAGGTGTCGGTCTCTTGTACCAGGGGGCGTCAGGTGTCGGTGTTTGTTGCAGAAGACCAACAGTGGAACACCTCAATCATGTGCATATAGTCAATTAAATAGTCATCTTGGCAAATGTTGTATCCGTGTGATTGTAGGCATACCAGGTTCCCTTCTTCGTCAGTTCCTCCGTGCCAACCGTGTTTGGACACATTTTTCCCATGTTTAACGGGGAAACTCGAACATGAAACTGCTGCAACTAACTACGCCGGCCAAAATTCCACTCCCCACCAGTAACTCTCCTCCAATGCTCCTCCGGCGAGGTGGCTTGAGCGATCTCCCGCAAGAGCTGCGTGATGTGCCTCGGATGGACGTTCGCTCGCTCGCAGGGAGGAGCCAGGTATGGACACCAAGAAAACGCATGCACCAAAGGGAGGCACCTCAAACATCCGTTGGGCCTCACAATGCATGTCCTTGTTTGAGGAGTCTAGCGAGCTCATGTGATTATGGAAGACCACTTATCCAAAGAGAATACTTCATGGATTAGCAGCTCAGAATTACTCAGGGCCTGAAGCATTGTCTCTGTAGAGTCCTTTCAGTCTATAGAGCGCACAACGGTGGCACCGGTGCGGCCTGCGAACATCTGGGTGCCCGGTCTTGTAGGCCATGCTGGGCGTCTCACCTCGGCCATGCGAGCCTAGCCCCTTGGGCGAGATCCATTAGTCACCAGCGCCCTTCGCTGTGGGCAACAACTGATGTCAAAAGCCATAAGAGACACATGGGAGACATACTTAGTTACTTGATTTGCTCATTAACTAACTATGATTCTTGGAAATGATCTTCTTGAACAAAACGCGCCAATTGTGTGAACCAAACGCCATGCCCAGTCGCAGTGATCGGTCTCGTCCACCTCGAAGGCGAACGGCTCGAGAGGCGGTGCCTGGACCGGTTCAATGATTCTCCGTGACAACGTTCACTCAATAAGGGTCATGATGTTCCAACATCATGTGAAATTGAGTGAATAGGGTCATGTGAGTCATGTGAGTCATTGAACATGGTTCGGGTTGATGTTCCAAGATGATGAGTTAATAAGGGTCATGTGAACTTAGTGAACAGTGAACCTGGTCTACCAGCTTGTGGTGATGCATTCAGGTCACTAGAAGGGCCTCCGAGGATACAAGAAAATGAACACAAGGCTCCTTGAAGAACAAAAAACCCTCCATATTCACACAATGAGGCCAAACCTTCCACTGAAAGACCATTGGCTTTGGTTGAAGTCCCTGTCTCAGCCCTTCCGCATCAGCCCACCGCTCAGCACAAGGAAGAGCTGCCTTCTTCCGCGCATGCCGCGTCACAGCCTTAGAATGGCGGGGCCGCCTTAAGACACGGAGTCCAACATTGAACACAATGGTTGGTAACTGACCCTCTCCAATGTTCAACATGATCAGCGGATGTTGCTTCTTTGGAAAAAGGAAGTACCTGTCCGAAAATCCAGGGTCATTGCACGACTTGGCGCATCATAGGCTCAACATCCATCAAACATAGAGATGCGATTGGAAATACTGGAACCACCAATCACCATATTCTGGCATATTCCAACTAATTACCCAAACCTATTGCTGCTAGGCCCGCTAGGCCTTAAGTCTGCGATGAACACTCCTCATCAGTTTCCTACCTACTACGAAACCACGCTATTTCTCCTTGTCCAATGATGAACATTGACGCCTGGTACGAATGACCAACGACACCGGGATGCCGTGGGTGCCCAGCTGTGATGCTGCCGTGGGTGCCGCGGCCGTGGGATGCTGTCAGCCTGGTGTGGCAAACGTGGTGTAAAGTCCATCCATCGGTTGTGCTTGAGCACAAAACGCAAGAGCAATGGCCTCCACCCTAATAGCAATGGCCTCCGTCCTCAAGCATGCTTAAGCATACAACATGGGACTTGGCAAGACTACTGCCAAGGCTAGAGGCCAATAAGTCTGCCTAAATGCATTGACAAGAACACCTGCATGTGGCAAAAACAATATAGCTCGTTCGATGAAATAATACACGTTCTGGTCTCTAAAAGACTTCACAGTTGTGTACGTAATTTACAACTTAGCCTAGGGCCACCTTTGATGGTGCTGGCGATTAGATTTGAGGCTCCAGAAATGCTGTTTTTCTCCCGTGAACCATGCCTCGGAAGTACGAACAATTGCCCCGCCCTCAGTAGGAAGCAAAGGGCCTTGGCACATCACAGCAATGTCCCTCCCCAACAAGTCAATTCTTGAGATGTCCCTGTCACTGTGTGGTTTGACCGGAAGGTCGGAGCTGCATCTCATCATTCTGATCTGGTCTGTGGATCTCTCGACATGGACATTTAGGTTGAAAAAAGCTCCAAGACCCTCTTACTGTCACACGAGCGACAGCAAGTAATGTCGCACGACTCAGCTCCAAACGAGAAATCTTCGCACGAGGCCTGCGAAAGGCGAAAATAGGACCAGGGACCATCCAAGCCAAAACAGATGCAGGGTTCAAGTTGGGTGGATGTTCCACTCCCCAAAAAAACAATGCAAATTCAAACCACCTAGAAGTTTACATGATTCTCTATCGACCACTGCAACTTGTTTTCTTCCGATATGACTCTAAATACAACACTTTGCACACCACCAACGCGCCTGACATGCGCGGCGCGGCCATGCTGTGTCATGGAATAGGACTGGAGGTGATTTGTCATCTTGGCATGGAGTTCCTTCCGTCTCAAGAGTAACACCAAGTAACAATGGGTGATCTCAGCAAGCTTATGGTGGGGTATGCTCCTCAAGGTATCTCATGGTTGGGTGAGCTAGCCGCCCTCGGCTGACTGCAGGCCAATAAGATGTCCTTTGGCTGCACGCCCGCCCTCTGTTTTTGTTTGGTGTGGGTGGTAAGGCTCGGCCTATGCATTCTGATTCTGATGCGCATTTTGTCATCTCCAGCTTTGTTCACTTTATGTTGCGGTACACGAGCCTAAACCCGGTAGAGTTTCAGGGGCTGTGCTGCTTGAATTGTCTGTCATGGATTCAAGCTGGCTTCACGCAACAATGGCTAAAGCCAAAAGAACATAATTTCAAACCATCAATTCCCCTGAGTCTTTATCCCTGATAAACACTCTGCAAAATATCAGCAGCTAACTAGGCCCCTCAATTCTGCCGATTCTGCCTCGCAATACAGAAGATTTGGTCTTCAATCGCCAAGGAACAACACTTAACTTCGCATTCTGCATATCCAGGGCACCTTGGGCCCTCATCTGCGGTTAGATGGACTCCACGTGAAAGGCCAGGTGAAACCGAAAGCGTTGGATCCGCCGACGGCGTGGGCTGAAGGACACCGGTCCTACCGAAAAAGGCACCCTCCTTCCTGGTAATCATGCCAGTGCTTCTTGAAAGGCTATCTATTCAGATCAAACATGATCAGATGCACCGGATGAACGGCTCTAAGACCAATCCAAACCCGCGATTTCCGGTCACAGCATCGGTGCTCTGCCTGTGACCCAAACCGTCACCCAACATCACTTAATATCTTTTTTGGCCTCCGCCTCCGCGTGGCCCCATTTGGATGAGTGCCATCTATCAAAGGTCCTTAGAGGTTTGGCTATGTTCCACCCACATCTTGTGGGCTGTCCGATGGCCGCTTTGAAGGTATCTGAAGACACGTGAAATCATCCCAGTCGAATCGGATAGGTTTGCAGTTTAACTCTGGAGAAGCTCTGGGTGGTTGCCGTTTCTCCGCTACCTCTTGTTAGTTTCTTGTTGATGTTGGGTGGCAAAAAGCACCAGCTGTGTTTGCCTTTGGAACCTATCAGATATGAATCTTGGAGGGTAAAGGCCAGTGGTCTGGAGCGCCAGCTGTCTGAGACCAAGGGGAGATTCCTCGCGTTCGATTGCTCCGCTGCAGCAATGGAAGCACGGAGCATGGACTAAACAAAAACCCGTCTGGACATGTGAACATGATAACGATTTGCTCCGTTCGTAGCGATGCCAGGAGCCCCGTTCGTAGCAAACATTGTTCCTAGTAAGGCCAGGAGCCCCGTTCGTAGCGTCCGAACGCTCCTAGTAGCGATGCCCTTTGTTCCTAGTTATCCCCCAAAATGCAGCCCTGGAGAGGTAGGACCATCTTGCTTGCATTCACATGATCCGGGCACAACGTGTAGCGGCCAAGGGCATTCAGATGCTTTCAGCAACCCTGCTTGGCAGGGTTGCAATGACAAGGCATCATTCGGCATCGTTGTCCGATCGGACATCTCACTTTCCACATCAGAAACTGCTAGTTGATTGCGGTCAACTAGGCAAGAAATGATGCTCTGTAGGATGCTTGAGGGGCAACTAGCTGTTCACCGTTCACCAAAAAAAGAAACATGCTGGAACTGGTGATCTTCTTGGCCTTGAACCTTCTTGCTCAATTTCTTTTAACAGGTGAGCTCCACAAAAGCTGATCTGAAGAAGTGATGGACCACATGAAACAGGTGTGAAGTCTCACCCACTGGACTACAGATCATGCGGCGGACAAAACTTCTTGGTGTCCCCAATATTTTAGGTTGCCCCCTATCTGACCTATCCGTTTTGCAAGGTTTTGACCAATTCAAAAATACTTAAGGCGGCTCATGGCTAAAGTAAAGTATATGTACGGATGTTTTAACGTGGAATCCAATGGCCTTGAAGTGAGATGGGAAAATGGTTTAAAGCTTCCGTAGTGTGGGCGCTTGGCTTCTCAACTTCTTCATGGCTCCAGCTTCTGGACACAATTGATGTTTCTCACGCTCTAACCGCTATATCGTTTGTTTGGCCATTCCTGAATCGCATAAGAGAGCAACTAGAACAATGGGGAATGTTGTTTTGAAAAGAACAAACTACATGGTTTGTCTAATTATCTTGAATACTGTCGTTCACCTATCTTTGTCTCATCATGTTGCTCGGCTTGAAAGCTCATGCCATGACCTTCAAAGCCAACTCGCTTGCAAGCTTTCACCACCTTCTATGTACACCACCACTCAAATCCCACGCCAGAAAGTAGCCATAGGCACCCGCGGGGTTCTCGAACCGGGCATCACCGTGTAGGGCCTGCGTTTGGACGTGCTGCGATTTCCCTGAGCCAGGGAAAGCCACAGCTGTTGTGAAAACAGAGATATCTAAATCGCCATGGCTCAAACATAGGGTACCATCCCATGCGCACAAATGCTGGAGAAGCAGTAAACATAACATGTGTAGCCTCTGCATGGAGAAATGGACAAATGGTAATACAGGGATATAGCTTTTCTTGAATCCAAACGCATGAATTCAAACCATGTTTGGGGATATCTTAAACAGCACACATTTAGAGTCACTGCACTTCATGCTTTGAAGTAATCTCGGCAGGCCGCTGTGCTTCCCACCCACTTTCGCGTCCACTCAAGTCTTTTCTCCACCACATCGCCCGTGGTGCCGCCGCCGCTGCATGCATCCGCGCTTGGCTCGAAGGCATTCCTGCAGATGCAATGAGAAGCGACATGGGATGAAAAGTCTCTGTTTACACAAACATGTGCATGGACAACGGTAGCTATGGAAGCAACATGCACTGCAAACTGCTCCAGATAACTCAGTGCGTTCTGATCCTGTCTGAAGTTGGTGAGAAACATGGCGCACGGGTCTCAGTGTCAAGAGTGCGCCGCTCCCAGCTTTTGAGTTTTACTCTACAGGGCCAACATCTCACAAAGGAATGTCCGGAACAAGCTATGATGAGCTATGATGTGAATTCCAGTTGCAAATGACATGCGATGCTTGGGCTCCGCATTCCTCAAACACCTGGTGTGAAGAGAGCAATCTTACTCCCTTCAGCAGCTGAAACAGAACATTGTGGATAAACCAGCACATTTGCATTCTGTAGATGAGAAACCGGCCTCTACACACTGCTGGTATGAAAAGCCGGCTTGACTGCAATCTAGGGCAGAAAAGCCACCATCTTTGCACTCCTTGGCGGAAAAGCCAGCCTCTTTGCAATGTAACGCAGAAAGACCACTATCGGGAAAACCAAGCTCTTTGCATTCTGTGGCAGAAAGGCCTAAGTGAGCAGCCTTGAAATCTCTGACAGAATAGCCAAGCCATTTGCAAGTTCTGTGCGAGAGGCGGACACCCAAACATTCTCTCAAAGGAAAGCTAGCCTCTTTGGAATTCAATCCAGCATTGTGACACTCCATCACTGAAAAACCAGCCTCTTTGCAATCTACTGCAGTGAAGCCTGCATCTTTGCATTCTTTTGCTGTGAAGCCAGCATCTTTGCAT